CTGGGTGATTACATCAAAAATTTAAAAAGTTTACGCTGCGAGTCAAAAGTATGGTTTGCTGTGTAAGACACCACAGGGCAGATGTACCTACCCCTGCTGTGGATTTCAATGGAAAGCTTTTTTTGCTCTCCCCTTAATGGCCACCTGTAACCACCTCTAAACCACTTTGAAAGTAAAATACCTACGTACTTCTCTGCATGGGAAAGCAGGTAAACATTAAAAAGCATGATTTTACTGTTCTGAATTTGTTTGACAAACAGACAACTACTTGACATTAAGTCAGTCACATTACACAACAGTTCACCTCTTTGCTGCCATCTTGCATTATAACACAAATGCTTTATACACTTTGTTTTTTCTGCTACAAGTGCAATAACTGTATTTTGTAGCTGCTTAAGCTGCTATCTGCAGACACAAGACACTTTATTCTCCGCCTGAATGCAGTTTCTGATTCAACTACACTTTCTCTGTTTAACTTGTTATGTCAGCCTCCATGTCTCCCCACTTTATTTTTGACTATTTTTTTCTGAATACAGTATAAGTACAAACTTTTATTTTGTTGTTTTGTACTATAGTAGAGTTTAGATTGTAAAACAGTATTACATATCTAACAGTCCACTCTTGTATCCTGTGCTTCAACACTTCAATTTCCCTGTGTGGGATCAATACAGTTCATTTGATCTTGTATTTCTCATATTCTATATTACCACCACATCCCATTGTTTGCCACAATATGGATGAAAAGTCAACATTTTTGCACATTCTGTGACACCTTTATTTAAAATATTCTATGTACCTTCTAATGGTCCAGTTGCCAGATATTTGAGCATGTGGGTCTGCTCTGGCAGACTGTTCTGGACCTCATTCAGAGTATAAAGTCGCTCAAAGTCAATCTGAGAAGATGACTGCTGTTTTCCTGCAGACACTGAAGCCTGATCATTACCAGATCCCAATCAATTCTCCTGTTTGAGGACAGTTGTTGCGGCAGCTGCAGTATTGCACAGTTAGGCAGCTGTACAAACAAGCAATCCATCTACAGAAGACTACGTAGACACTGGAAAAAAAAAAAAAAAAGAGGTGCGACTACGCAGCTGTGAAGAGAAGCGACTTGGCTTCAAATAAATGTATCTTGACACACGGTCACCTTCCATCTGTAGTGTGATTCTGAATGTAATTTATCAGTCCTGTAGGCAGCCACAGGCCTCATCGCAGGCCTCAGCTGTAGCCTCATAGCATTCACTGTAGTGCTTGATCCAAGCCGCATTGGGACAAAGGTGAAGTAGTTAAATAGGCAGCATGCTTGAGCTGAATGTCACAGAGCTGCACATAGTCAGGACGTGCCCACAGCTAGCAAACTGTTTTGGTCCCACTGAAGTCATATGTTATCACAGCGAGGTCTGCGGCTCATTTGGTTGAGGAAATCATGAATTCAGACTTTGTTGCATAAAATGTACTCTGAACAGCATAATAGGACCGATCCGGAAGCAGTTTGTCACAAATCAAAGCTGTTTGCTTGAAGGTCTTTAAAGGTATTAAGTGTCCACCTTTGGTCAGACCTCATGAGACTCCACAGTATGTAGTTTAAAGTGATGCTCTCATCCTGAGTGAGAAGCAAAGAGTGCTACAGTCCTACCACCTCTGCCAAGGCCAATGTCAAACAGCATACACCAAACGTCAGAGAAAAAAACATATAATATATGGTAAATGATTCAGATCTGCACCAAAATTGAATGGGTTCTACTTTGGCTTGTGTCTCAGCCCTCCACCAAGTTCGGTGCAGATCGGTTGTGTAATTTTTGTGTAATCCTGCTGACAAATAAACACACGGGTGAAAACACAACCCCTTTGTTGGAGGTAATAAAAAGTTTGTGTTAGTGCAGAAATCAAATAACTAACCATAAAGCATTTTGAAGTTTAAAAGAGAGAGAGAGAGAGTAGCGAAGATACTTAGATTTCATGTGAAGGAGTTTTAATCACCGACAGGTTATAGAGAGCACGTCTGGTTTTCTGGACTTTCTGTCAGATCCAAGCTCGAGCTGTGACCACACTGGTACACCAATTAGAGCTAAGTGTCCAGTAGTAGAAGATTCCCAGAGCGTGAAGTAGTTGACACTACTTAATTTGGGCAGGATCGTCACAAGATGAGTGGCAGGGTCCAAATTGAGAATGATGCTTTGGAGAAAGTGTTTGTGACAGATTTTGTAGGGTGCAGACTTTCAGAATCAGATCACAATCTGTCCATCTTCAGTATGTTGTATGTAGTCTTAGTGTTATTTAATTTGTAAAATTCAGAATTCACTGTTATTGCCATTGTTTAAAATTATTACACAGCAACATTATTGTTGGAATTTTTATTTCTTTTTATGTACATAGTTTTATAGTTTAACTGTTCAATAAACTTCAGGATGCTGTGTGTTATTTTGACCACTAGATGGCAGCATAATGCAGACATCAACAGGTTGCAGCACTGCTTTACTCAGGGCTTTTCAGCATTTCAGCATTAACATTATTTTGTCTTGCAGACTTTAAACATTAAAATCCAAAGACAGTTAAATGTAATTCTCATAAAGTACAAAATACTATATAACAATCTCCTGTAAGCTGCGTAAATTACTATATGTTTATTTGCCAAAAATCTAATTTAACATTATTGTCCAAAAGAAGAAATCAGAGGTGCACACAGGGTGCATACAGTACAGAAAGATAACTGCATACAATACATGACATAAAATGTATTTTCTATAGTGAGTGGTTATTTATGAGAAATACAAAACTGTCAGTGACACTTGGTACTACTTGTGAGCACTATGCATAACACCTCCTTGTTGATTAAATGTTTCTGACTGACCTTTCACCCCAACCACAGTGGAGGTGAAGTTTAAATAGCATCAAAAAAGTACTTTAATTTGATTGAAAATATTACCACTGGCCACAAACTAGCCGTTCATTTTACAGCTTCCCACAGATTTTACTTAAACATAGGAAATACATAAATATAGCATTTAAAAAAAAAAAAAAAAAATCTTTACAGTAAAGTCACATTTTCTATATGCATTTGCATCAGTGCAGTTTACATAATGCTATATGATGCAATATTCCTCCCACTGACACATCAGCCAGTTAATGTTTACACACATGAAGGTGTTACAGTTAATGCGGTGCCATTTATCAAACAGGTGTATAGATCCCAGGTTCACAGGTTTGTGTGACCACCAGTGGCGTACTTTATTCAGCTACATGTCAGTATGATACGACATATCAGTGGTGGAACACAACCAATCAAGTATTTTTACTCCAGTACTGTACTAAACTTTGAAGTACTGTACTTAAAGTTTTCCTTTTATGGGACTTTATACTTTGAATCTACTATATTTCAGAGGGAAATATTGTAAATTTTACTACACTATATTTATTGAACCATTATAGTTCCAAGTTACTTTTCAGATTAAAAGTTTCTACCACAATACACATTGATGATATTAAAATGCTGCTGTAATAATATCTATATGTATGTTAAACAACAGTAAGTTGATACTTGTCAGTACATTTTGCAGATAATACTCCTGTACCTGTGAAACTTTGATTGCAAGATACTTACTTTATGAGTATTTTTGGGTATTTTTATATTGTGACTTTAGAGACGTTGTATTAAAGATCTCAGTGTTTCTCACACCGCTGGTTTTATAGATTAAGTGTTAGGATATGCAATTTTGCAATATTGTTTTCAGACCAGTAATGTCCAATTACCAAACAAAAATGTGCTAAATATCACAAACAATATAAACAAAAAACAAATACCCAATCACAAAAATGACACACAGCTCTTTTTTTTAAATTACATTTAATAATGTTGCATAATACAAAACATCACTTGCATTCCTCTGCTGATCCACAACTTCCCTTGAATTCATTGTTTCAAAATAAATATCAAGGCAGACTTCAAAAGGTAAACATCTATGTCCAACTGTATATGCAGCGAAGGAACCATACAACATTAATCTTCACAACAAAATGTCTTTCATTCTTTTGGCATATTTGCTTTGCACACAAAAGCAGCTAAGCAGTTGAGTAAGAATGACTAGTAGCATATAACTGGCCCAGATTTGCAATAGAAAACAGCAGAGGCAAAAGGTATACAATATCTGATATGGACCGCATACTTTTTTTTTTTTAGTAAATATATAAAAACACTAATTTGCGGGAAATCCAATAAAGAGTATGAAAATATAAGTCGAACTTTGTCTGTTCAGTTAAAATCTTTACAAAATAATATACTAGCAATAAGAAATTAATATTGTTTAATGACCTATGTAACAACTTTTATACATTTCTTTAAATAAAAAAATACTTTGGAAAAAGACAGAATTGTGGTGTCCAAGTTTTCATGTGGAGGTAGCGTTTCTCCCCCTGTACCCTAATTTGATGACATTCACATACCAAATTGTACCTTGTCCTCGAAGTTATGACTTTTCAGATGTACATGTCATAAACATGTCAGCTTCACAATAGCCAGGCCAGAAATGCAGTTAATATTGAGATTACTGACTAAAATAAAGTGATGTTCATTTGTTATTATTGAGCATATGTATATGTACTGTATATATGCTGTATATATTTCTGAACAAAGCTGTTTGCAAAGGCATTGTGATGCACAGCAATGTCAAATCAAAACAATTCATACATGTTCATTAGGACATTAAGACCCAGTCCGGAAAAGGACTTTGGTGCCACCTGTCGTTATAAGATTGCCCCATTATTAGCTTGTTTCATACTCGTTTGAAGATTACACTGTCCATTGATTTGACTTTGAGTTGCAGCAGGTGACACCCAAACATGCAAATTTAAAACTTACACAGTTTTGAAGATAACTCTTCCCCTTCATTAAACTGTGTACATACATGATTGACTAACAATACATTCGACAGTTACAGTAAAATTAAGAATCCGGACTGAGGCTTTAATCTTCAAAGCTCAATAAGAACTGCCTATTTCTGGCATGGCTAGTGGAAGTAGGACTGCAGGGTACCACGGCGGCGGACATCAGTTGTCCAGCAGTGGAAGCCGCCACCCAGGGAGTTGGCATGGCGAATGTTCACCTTTATGGTCTTGATACCTGCAACGAAAAACATATTAATGCATCATTATTACGTCGTCATTTCCTCGTAGGTGAGTTGGAAGATGAAAAATGATACGAAGATAAGAAGCAATAACTTGAATATATGAACTCACCGAGGTTCTCGAACATTTTGTGAATGGTGGATTCATTGGCGTCAACCATAACACGCTTCTCATCCAACATCAGGACATTCATGGACAACCATTTGGAGGACATCCACAGTGGGTGGTCTACACAGAAAAACACAGAGAATGTCTATTTTTCAGCAAGACTTCAAAATGCTCAGCTAATGTAAGAGAAGAAACATTTTAGTTTCAGTACGCACCATCAGGGATGAGAGGTGTTGGAGGTTTCACAATAGTCCAGCCGGCCTTCTTGAACATGTCAACCTGAGTTCAGGAACGGAGAGCAGTGGTGAACATGAGGCACTTTGCAGTGTTTTATCAAAGCAAGATAAAGTATCGGTTCACAAGAGGGCAGCGCAGGAAATGAACAATAGACCTTTGCTGCCTTACAGTACCTGGCGACACGGGCGGTCAGGGTTTGACAGCACCAGTCCTGGCCCGATGATGTTAAAAGTGGCATCAATGTGCATGGGGTTAGGATCCTTGAAAGAGATTATGTGGATCTTGTATTCTGGGGCTAGATGACGACGCATCCATTCAATTCCCATGTAATTTGTAACCTGCAAAAAAACCCCAGAAGTTTCATGTAGTGTACGTTCTTAAACACTGCAGGGAAGCGTTATTTATAGTAAATTGGCATTGAGAGTTTTGCTTCATCAAATCTTTGGTTCTGCACGTTCCATGTTGCTCTTCACTCTGACATTTAAGCAATAGGCTGTCGTATAAGAATGAAGGATCTTATAAGTTGAAGAGCCTTTTTACCTGACTCCTCTGTACGAAAAGGTCCCGCCCAGCTCGAATGAAATCAGCAGCATCGAAGCAGGGCTCGTGCTCCGTGGTCACAAACTTCCCCTCGGCGGCCAGCTTGTGTCTGTCCTCCACTGTGCGGATGGGGTAGTCCTGAATGACACCAAGCAGTGATGGTTTACACTTAAGCAATTGGGTGGTAATTTACACTTTCTTGTCACATATTGTGCAAGAAACAGCACAAGAAGAAGAGTTCAGCGGTGATATGAACACATAAGTTTGTCTTTAAGTCAAACGCGTGACAGTCCACATTATCTTCGGTTAAACTCAAAAGACAAATGCCTCACCTGATCATACAGCTCATCAGCCATAGTGGGTTTGGGAGCAGTGGTCCATTTAGCACCTTTACTGAAGTATTCCTTGATCAAAGGTCTGTAGGCCCGGTATTCAAAGAAGCGAGCTCTCCAGGCCATAGGAGCCTCAATAATCTCATTTCCCACAACCATAAGGATGTCTCTGGGCATGGCAGCATACATACCTACAAAAGATTCAACAATACACTATTAGCTCACATAGAATATGTTTACAACTAAACCTTAGATACAATCTTTTTTACTTAAGTACATAAGTGTTATCAGTAAAGAGTACTTCAAGCAATACATGTAAAAAAGGATTATATTATTGGACCATTATTACTGATGCAGTAACAAGTAAACAGTACTTTAATGTTATAGATGGTACAACATTTCTGTCTGATTTGTTGTGGAGCAGAAACATAAAGTGGCACGAACTGGAAAATAATCAGGTGAAGCACAAATACTTCATGGATTACCGGCTTTAAGTTGTGAGCTACGTTTTACACATAATTTTACATCATTTTCATAGAAGGCTTCTGATTTGTTTTTGGGTTTTCTTTTTTTTTTTTACCTGAGGATGTGAAATCTGGAGTTTTGTATTCCAGGGACCAGTTGATGGGTTCCGGCCTCCTCACATTGACGCCCTCATGACGCAGGATATTGCACATTTCTTCAATCTCAGCAACAGCTTTTTTCAAGTGGTCCGCAGGAAAAGACTGGCCGCCATGCTTCTGGTAGAATGGCCAGTACTTCTCATATGTGTTAGCCTGTTGAGAAGTTTGCAACATGACAACATGCAGGTCATCTCATTGTCTCGTGGTGTGAGTTTTGATTCTCCTGCAGTGGCTTACACATTAAGATTATGTCATTCGCATGTTTCAGAAAAATTGATTTTGATGTTAGAGCTTACTTTCACTTCCACGGTGAAGGGAGGCACTTGGGCATTTTCAGCACGACCCACAATCACCTCCTCGAGAGGGTCCCATTCATTGTAGCTGCAGACAGGACATTCCTGCTGCACAGGCTCAGTAACATGTTCCACTTCAACCACATGCTGCATCTGTGCAGCTCCTGCACTTGAAGTGCTCTGAAAAGCCCTCTGCACCCATCCAGTCACCGCACGGCCAAGCTGAGGAGGGAGAAAAAAAATGAACCATAAGTTTTTTTTAATATTTTCTGCAGCACAATAATGGCCTTCGGTTTTCTGCTGTAGGAGTGAAATAACAGATTTTGAGAACGGCTTTCATATAAAAGTTTACATTTCTTTAGATTTAATAGATCTTCTCTGGTAAGAAATACAATTTATACATATTAATACAATCTTTGCATTAGTTGTAAACAACACTAGCTGTGTGTAAACACCGTTGCTGTATGTTATTTGCTGTATTTCTTACTTTGTTTTGGTGCAAGAAATGAGGCCAAATTAAAAGTGATATGGTCAGATAAATGCGTTGACAAGCAGCTCACACACATAAAGAATAATTCAAGTGGAGTGAAGCACGGTGACCTCAGTTATCAATGAGAAATGCCTTCAGTAAAGTAGATTGGTTTGGTGCCAAAGTACATGTGTTATTAAGTAGCAGCGTTATCTCCGGAGACAGGCCTTACAGTGTGGCCTCTGCTGGCTCGGAGCAGCTCTAGGGTCACTGAGTATGGGAGTGCATCTGTGCCAAACAGCTGTTCACTGTCACTCAGGGACCAAAAAAAAAAAGAGCTGTCTCAGCAACTAGAAACAAATCAATATTTGGACTAAGGTCTCTTTGACAAAATCAGTGTTTTAAAATGTTTTGGATTTGTTTTAGCCCGAACAGCCGATGAGATTGAATTTCCCCCCAGAGATTTCTGTACTTTAATCACCTAAAATGCTTAATCAGACAAACAATAAATCAATAAAGAAATCAATTAAGTGAAAGAAGCTGCTTAGATGTAACCTAGTGAAGAAAATGTCGAACATATTCTTTATTCACGTTGACTGACGTGTGCTTTTTAAACCAAAACAGAAAAAATAAAATAAATTAAATTTTTTTTTTTTTTTAAAAAGAGCAGAATGAAACCACCATAATACCAACCATGGCTCCGATCAGATGGGCAGCCTCGGCCCCCCTGCTACCTCCTCTCAGACACCTTACTCGCAGCATTGTCCACAGTAATAGTGAGTGTGTCAGGGAAATGAAACGGCAGCGCACGATCCACCTCTCAGTTTGCTCATGAATGAAGACGCCTCAGCTCGCAGCCAACTTTATAGCAGCGGGTCGAAGTGTCTCTGAGACCATTGGTCGCCTTCATGCTGTGGGGGCAACGTGACTTGAGAAAAAGCATTTCTGAAACTCAATCCCTTACGCCAGCAAATTCTTATCAACTTGGGCCACTAGCTTTAAAGATTTCCAAGGAGAACTTCTGAAAATGTCTCAGTGTTTATCAGAACATTGTCATAGTTGCTAAACACCCAGTAAAATGATATTACATAATAGACCCCAATATTTATAGTGTGATTTCTATACATTTACCATGTAAGTCCTCTGAGTATATGGTGTTCATTTCAGAGGTGGAGGGGGAGTGTGTGCTACCCATATTGAGCTTTTTTTTTTTTTTTTGAGTACAGGTCTATGCATGGCTCTCTGCTGAGTTCACACACCTCCAGCTGCTGCAGGGAGCGCGACACGTGGCGCGCCTGCAAAACAGTGGAAGGTGCTTCTCACCTCACGCCGCTTTGCTGCCTTCCCTCCGCGGAGCTGCAAGATCGTAGACCGTCGGGGGAAAACGATCGGCTCTGCACATGGCTCCAGTTACTCATCTGAGCATGAGAGAGGTTCTCTCCAAGCCTGCACAAGAGCATGCAGCGGTAAATGACCATGTCTGACATCACCGCCTGCAGCAGTTTGCAGGCAGATGAGTTATCAGAAGACCACAGCATCAACTTTTTGTGTAATTTCAGACCACTTTAGAGCTATTGTTGATTTCATGCCATCCAGATTTTAGTCAAAAATCTCGTTAAATGTGTTTTTAGAATTAGATAAGATTTAGATTTATAAAATTAGATCATCCTTGTTGCTGTTTGTCGTCATGCACCGAAAACACCAAAGTAAATTCCTTGTATGTTGAAAACCTACTTGGCAGTAAACCAGATTCTGATTCTGATTCTGAGATGTACACTCCGCCAGAGTAGGCCTAACTGACATGTGGACACATCAGTGCAACCACATGTGTCTTCTGCCTAATGACAAACCTTTCCTTTGGCAGGAGGGGAGCTGGTCTGTAACCTGCTATGACCCTAAATATCCTACATTCAGATATTTTTAACCATCTACAAGGATTTTTTGGCCTAACAGGCCTCTGGGGTACGGATCCGCAGCAGCCACGAGTTGCCATGTTTGAGTGTTTTCTGCAAAATGTTGGTTATAATGAGAAAGAGGGGGGGTCTACTGGCAACCCTCAACTTCAAAGTGCTTAAGCATTTGTTGACCAGCTGCAGTAGCAATGGAGTTTGAGGGTTTCAAATGTCACAGAATGGAAAATGTCTTCACTAGACACATTTAAATTCAGACGTTATTATATTTAAATTTCAGTGTTTACTCATTTGTGAGGTGAAAATGCCTCTCAAAGGGAATTAAGACATCTTTTTAAAGAAGATCTGAAGTGTAGGCTAATTAACAGCTGAGCTCAGGCAATAAGAATGTAACCTGTAATCAATCCAATATCTCCTTTGAGCTTAGCCGGAGTAATATTTACCTACTATTTAATGCCTCCCTCCAATTTTCCATAAATGAATCAAGAGCAGAGTTCATACTGCATGTAGGTCATTAAGACATGAACATTTTTTATTATTATTTTTTTTAGATTTTCCACAGTTAATCCATCTCTTTTGTTCATCGTCCCTTGTTCTCCTCTACCTACATTGAAGAACCAGTAGGAACCAATGAGTATTTTATCACTGATTCATATGAAAAAAATTAAACTGTAAATTCAGAGGTCAGTAAATGTCTGGAAATTACCCTATAAATTGTTGGCTGTATTATGTAGTGTTACCCTCTTATTAATATTCCACAAAAAGGCCACTAGTGAACTTCAGTCAAAAGGAAGCTAATTAAATGAAACTGGCAGCTCTAGACTTAACTACTGTATACTACCTGTGATTGGGTGTCACGATAAAGTTTGTCATGCCTGCTTACGTGACTGTTTTGAATGCAGTGCAATATAATCAGTATATAATCAGTATAATATTGACATCACTTAGTTTGGGAATGTTACCAAACACATTCTGGAAGCACACCAAAGGGTGAAAAATGAGGTGATGTAATCAAAGAGATAGATAGCCTTGTGAAGGCTGTGTCACCACATGCTCCACTGAACTGTGCTCACAAGAGTTTCACAACCCACAGACCTCAGTGACCTCTGATATTACCAGGCCCTCTAAAAAAAAATCTCTGGCTGCTGCTAAAGGTTCAAAGGATCTGCACAAGGGATGCCTTCAGCTCCCAATAGCATCATTCACTCGTCCAACAGGCAGACAGAGAATTTTGTGAAATCAGCTAAAAATCACTAGAGTGTTAGGAAAACATCAGAACAAGCAGATTACAGCTGATATATAGTGCAACATGTTACTTAGTGAACTTTAGAGGTGCTGGTCGGTTTTTATTACCTTTGGACAGAGCAAGGCTAGCTGTTTCCCTCTTTCCAGTCATTATGCTAAGCTATGCAAGGCTAACTGTCGCTGTACAGAAAGTGTTTCCCTAAAATGATAAGCCATTGCTTTAAGGCCCTTATCATGTCAGTTGATATTGTGCTTCAGTCGTACTTGTTCCCAAATATCAGGCTGTAAAACCAAAGTGTTGAACTAAAACAGCTGCAGAGTTGAGCGTTAGACCCATAGTCCCATTTCATAACGGCTAATCTTCAGTGCATCTGACTTGAAGTCTTCTGACTTGAAATTGTTTGAATGAATGTTGTGATATGGGTTCACTAAACTCATCAAATCACTTTGGTAAAAAAAACAAAAAATAAACAAAAATAAAACATGGATAGTGCACAATGGCATACTTCCCAGCATGCATTTTTATCTGGTCTTCAAATCTGCACAACGCTCCTTCTGAGAAAAATTGCACAATGGATTCTTCTTCTGTGTCTCGTTAATCAATGTTTAGAGCTTCGCATTCAGTCCCACAGTGGACTGCACGGCAAATAATGAAATGACCCTTCAAACGCCTTCAAACTGAGAGAACTGGAGAACAAAGCTGAGTTTAACATTTGTCACTCTGACTAAACATTGAATGTCAAATTTGATGGATTTAACTCTGCATTTTATATCACAAGTAATGCGGAGACTTTGAACAATTTATTCAACTAATTCCGTTAACTAAGGCAGCAGGGGGAATAATCAGTTTATATATAAAAAACAACTCTTTTTTTAAATTGCATCAATGTACATACTATCTGCAAATATGTTGTACTGGTACTGATATAACTGATATAGAGTCCATCTTTACAAACACATGTTATGCAGCCAAATAAGTGAATGTTGTTCAAAACCACCAGGTTATTTTTTTATTTTAAAGTAATTCCCAAAGTGTACAAGTTGTTATTATTATTATTATTATTGTTATTATTATTATTTCAATTTGGAAAAAAGTAGAGATTTAGCCCACAGCCCGTTCTGTTTCACAGTTTTAACAGTTTAACAGAAGTCATGGGCTTTACAGTCACACAAATTATCAATGAATGAAAGTGGAGCCCAGACAAAGAAAAGAGTGACACCTGGAGGAATTTAAAACTGTTTCAAAAAAGAATATTCAGAGAATGTGTGTGTTTTTTCTTGTGTTTGTTTGAGTGTGTGTGTTTACCTTCATGCATATGTAGTCAATCAGCAGAATTTAAAATCTGTAATCCAAATTTAAATACATGGTAGGTCCCATTACCAGCTGCTGAAAGTAACATTTACTCAAGTACAATTCTGAGTTACTTTCCTTGAATATTTCCATGCCACTTTATACTCCTGCGCCACTGCACTTCAGAGGGAAATACATATGCTTTTTACTCCACTATTAAAAGCTTGTGTTACAAGTTATTAATCAGATTGAGATTTTGATATAAAAAAAACTACAACACACCCAACCTTCCCAACCTTTTTGACCTGTGACCCCTTATGAAAAAGCAGTGAAGTTGGGGCCCCCTTGTTATGTCTCAGATGAGTTGTTAGAGTTGTTACCAAGAGACATGTCCCCTCTAAACTTCTCAGATGGTTTCATTTAAGTTACTGTTTGCAGCCCAAAGAGATCAAATGTTCCAATATTTCATAAAAAAAGAAGAAGCAAAGAATACAGGAAAGTCTAATAAAGAAATTTAAAGCACAACTTTCTTTTTTTTCTCTTAACCTTTTTAAAATACACCGTCCCATCCAAGGTTAGCGTCACTTGAGGGTGTGTTTTGGTGTGTACCAGACTTAGTCTTCACACAAGCTTGACGAATTATACGTTGCTTGACAGCTATAAGTCTCCTGATTCTATCTGAGAAATGAAATTACAATCACAGAATTGGTTTAGACTTGTGGCTATGGTTTCAAAATGTTTTCCACACAAATAGCCCACTGCTACAGGCCTCGGAAGTCCCATTTTATGCCAAGAAATAGGCAAAAAAAACAAACAAATAGCTTACATTTTGACCGTGTTTGTGCCTCTGTAATTTTGGTTCAGTAACTCTCATACTCATTCTGACTTTTTGGTTGTATAATTTGAAAAGCAATTACCTTTTTTTTTAATTTTAGGTACAAGTCTGTGGGGCGTCTGTTAAAGGATACACAACCCTATTGTCACCTCTTGACCCCTCAGATTTATCATATCTGGACTAAATGACCAAACTGTGTGTAGAAGTGTAACATGCCCATTTTAACTATATGACCACCAATGATAAGAGAAACTCAAAATGCTATTTTTGTCAGTTTAAATTGTCAGTTGTCTGAATGTCTGGTATTTGCAGCTCTGCCCACTGAACCATCTGACCCTGGACAAGCAGCAGTGTTGTTTACATCCAGTAGCCTCAACAGCCTTTTTCAGCCGACCCTGACACTGATTATAAGTGTGAGTGATAGGTTGCTGAATTCTCTTCTTTTTTTTTTTTCTTTTTCTTACATCCTTAAATGTGTTTCTCTACATAAGTTTTGATCAATTCATTGTAGTTTGAAGAGAATTCCCCTTCTTTCCTCCAGTGGCAGAGCAAGTCCAGTCTTTGCAGTAAAAAAAAAACCATGTGACGCTGTTTATGTGAAATCTGCAGTTACCCTCAATCTCTATAAATTCCTACATATTCAAACATCTGACCTTTTCTATTGACCTAACTAACTTTGGAGGGAATGCCCCGCCCCACTGAACAAAATCCTTATTTGCAGCATTCCCCATTTTGCAGCAGGGGCTACACCTTTTTTCTTTTTTTTTTCTTTTTTTTTTTTTTTTACAGGAACTGTGGCTTTTAAACAAGAAGCAGGATGGAGATGTATATTATTTCAGTCATTTTAGCAACTATCCTCATCATACCATTCGCATTGAAAACCTTCTCTCCTTATCTTTGGATGGATATTCTGTATTTCGGGGACCTACTGCGGATTTTCGTGAGGTTTGTGTCAAGGCGAAGAAGGAGACCTCTCTTCTTTGTTTTGGACCGTTTCTTGGAGCAGACCGCCGCGCTGCCACACAAGCCCTTCATTGTGTTTGAAAATGAGATATACTCGTACACTCACACGGATAAAAGGAGTAACAAAGTGGCCAACGCGCTCCGGACTCAGCGCGGTTACAGAGCCGGAGACACCGTCGCACTGTTCATGGGGAATGAACCCGCCTTCTTGTTTACCTGGCTGGCTTTGGCTAAGTTAGGGTCTCCTGTGGCTCTGCTCAACCACAACATCCGCACCAAGTCTCTGCTGCACTGCTTTAACTGCTGCAAGGCTAAAGTGCTGATAGCAGCCTCAGGTATGCATCTGTGTTTTTATAAACAAAACTTATAGGAAACACCAGTTCTGCTCTTGTTGACTTCCGTCATAGGCTGCATTGATTTTTTTTTTTTTTTTTTTTTTTTTTTTTAATGGCCGTGAAACTAAAGTATTCGTGTCTGGTTTGAGTTTAACCTCTGTCATGCCCAGAGATTCAAGCAGTTTTTAAAAGAAGTTATGATTTCTTTTTTCTTGGTACAGTGTAAAAGTCCATTTAACAATTTGAATTCCTTTATATAAATAGAAGCGCACAAACAAATAAACAAATACAAGTTTTAAACTGACATAGTATACTGTACAGAGTTTTCTCTTTTCATCACAGTGGGGCAAGTGACTGGTACAGCTGATATTTCCTAAGAGATGTAAAAGGGATTTGGAGAATTATCCTGGACGGAGCCCTGCCAGGATGATTCAGTGGGATTCATGGGACATGAGCTACTTATTCAATGGAGATGACATACTAAAAATATTTGAGTTTAAATATTGATCTGAAATTATTTTATAACCAGTTGAAGTTAAATTTTCAAGCTTCTGTGAAAAATCTAGATTTCTGTTTCTTTTGTCGGATGAAAAATTACGTTTTTGTTTGATCTTCGTTCAGATACAAGAATCTGTGGTTTGACGAGGCTCAGTAGGTATTTTCAGGGGTCTCAAAATGGCTTTCAGGTTACTAGAGAGTTCTTAAACAACCCAGGGATGCAAACAGTACTTTTGTTCTCAAAACACTGCAGTGCACATTGTCATCGTCTCCTGAACTTCTTCCCATAGTTCACTAAATATCCCCCAGCTTCTAGGCTCAGATGATCCTCAGTTACTGCTGCCCACACCAATAATTGAACGTGAAACCTGGTCTTCCACTTGGCTTTAATCATACTTGCATTTTCTGTAAAGCTTCGTTTTTCACTGCCACTACTGGGCCACTAGGCAAGTCTGCATGATTGTGCTGTATGACCCTCTCCAGAACTAAAGGACGCCGTGGAGGATGTGCTGCCCTCCCTGACAGAGCAGGGCGTCACCGTCCTCCTGATGACCAAACACTGTGACACACCTGGAATCGAGAGCTTCTCTGATAAAGTGGACGAGGCGCCGGACACCCCGCTCCCTCAGTCCCTCCGATCGCACATCACATTCAAAAGTCCTGCAGTTTATATTTACACCTCTGGAACTACAGGTACTGCAGTGGCTGCATTTGTCCGTTTCCTTTTCAGGTTCATGTGATGATAACATTTCCCCATAAGAAGATGTCACAAGCCCGTTTGTGTCTTGTTGTATTTCAGGTCTCCCTAAGGCAGCTGTGGTCAATCAGAACCGCCTCCTGACAGCTCTGGCTGTTTTAGCTTCAAATGGTGTAATGCCTAGTGATGTCATCTACCTCAACCTGCCTCTGTACCACACAGCTGGATTTATTGTGGGCTTTATTGGCTCCATTGAGACAGGTGAGGCGATTGAGCTCTAGCTAAAACCGTTGTGGCCTCAGCTCAAAAAAGAATTTGTGTGAGATTCCTTGGAGATGGATGAGATAAAGAGTTGTTAGGTTGTTTCATGCATTTCAGGCTGTTAAATAATTAGTTATAGTTCGATGTGTACAGCAGCAGGGACGAGACAGCTGTGTTGCCAGGTGCTGAACCGCTGAAGATGCTAGAGTTATCATATTTCAGGCCAAACTGTTGTACAGCTTCAAAATCACCGCATCAAACAAACTGATTTGATGCTTGAACCAAACAAAAGCTGTAAAGCACAATCACAAAGAGGTTTTGAGAGGCGGGGTTGAAATCAAAGCAGAGATGTGATGGATAATTTAAAGCAGATCCAGGTTCAGGTTGTTGTTATATATTACTGACAAGAGGAAATTGTCCTGCTTCTTAGGGCAAACAAACCATTTAAAAACCGATTGGGTTTGCTGAAAAATGCATCGTCACAAAGCTGAAGAGAAAGCTGTTTTTCTCGCGTCATAAAAAGTTAATGTTTTTGGACAGACGTCGTTTTCACAGGACAGCGATGATGACTTAACATACGATGAATAATCAGCTCTGAATCATTTTAATGATGTGGAAAAGCACAGAAACTATGACATGTTTACAATGTAGTAGCTACATTCAAGGTTTTTTTTTTTTTTTTTTTTAAAGAATTATTCATCTTCCAACATGCACTGGCTTCCCACCATCAGTTTTATTTGATGCTGGAGATATCACTCCAAGCTGTTTCGATGGAGGTGCTCATACACCAGCTGTGCCCCGTGAAGACCATGCAGGTTCCTGATAGAAGGACCCCTGTTACATGGCCTTCACGAGGTTCTCACACATAACCTTTTGCAAAATCGTAAACAGAATTGAACACTTCTCCACGTTACACAAAAGTGATGTCCCTGCTACCCCTTCTCCCTCTTGTTTTCCTGCCCCTGGGAAACCAAGAGAAAGAGTCTTTTGTCGCTGTGAAGCATTAATCTGAACAGAGCCGGGTCAAACAAGACCAGATTACCTCCACTTTCTAAATGCTTTTGTCTAAATAGGCTAAAGTTCACACTGCTATAATACGTCAGGGTAGGCAGCCTGAGCTAGACACATATTAGGACATATCCAGTACAGCCCCAGAACAATCACAGTCCCGCAGTTCAATGGCATAGAGTTGGTTGGCATGAGTTTTTGGAAAATATTCAAATCTTACACAAAGCCCATCTTTGATTCAGTCAATTCAAAAATATAAATTGAATGTAGAAATAACTTAATACTGTAGTTAGTGGTATTTGCAGATACATCTGAAATGTATTGGTGAATCATTAAAAAAATGTAGATAAATGTCCCTAACAAACTAAATGTCAGCTGTGTATATCTACTTTTATAACTGAATATTTGAAGTTTTAAAAGGTTGTGAACAGTAGAACTTGCTGAATGGAAAAGCCATAAAAGTGAAGCTGAATCTGTTGTCATCACATTCCTATGTTGTTAAGACCATAATCAAATTGTCTTTGTCTTTGTCTTTTTTTTTTCACTGTCTTATTTTGAAGGGTCAACTATCATCCTGAAGAGGAAGTTTTCTGCCTCTCAGTTTTGGGACGACTGCAGGAAACACAGTGTGACTGTTATCCAGTACATCGGAGAGGTGATGCGTTACCTCTGTAGCACATCAAAGGTGAAATGACTTTGACTGTTCCCGCCTTTTAACATCATGTTGTTCAGCCATTCAAAGCTCCCTGCTTCAAAACCTATAACTAAGCAGTATTGCCTTATTTCAGGATTGTTTAAGTAGGAATAATATTTGTTTTAAAAATAAAGCATTTTGAAGATTGATAGCAATATTTAGTAACTTTTAGTAACACAAACCAGGGGCAATCTCTCAGGGGTGGCAGGAGGTTAATGTGACTCAGGGGCAGGCACTACCGTAGATAAGGCCTTTAAGTGAAGAGGCTTTTGGACAGAATTTAACTGGCCTAGAATTGAAATATATTAAAAGAAAATAGATATGTATGTGCAGTTTTATTCATCTGTAGTTGCGAAGGAGCTGCCATGATTGTCCCTGATGCCTCATAATTAAAAATATTGGTCTAATTTGTTGACAGCCCTATTTAATAACCTTCATCTATTAACTGAATGCCAATTTAGTTGTAATTACTAGAGATATTGCGACTCAAACAAGCTCACCCTGGACTCTCTGGCAGGGTGCTGTGGTTACCGTGCACAATCTTCTCTGCCATCTTAACTACTGTAAAACGTCTTTGCTCTGGACAGCTGCAGAGGCAGAGCCCTGTGAACCGGCTGCAGCGAGCTGCAGGAAGATCAAGTCAGAGATAACTTTCCAGTTATCTCCTGTACATTCCCACAGAGCTGCACAGCTGGCAAACCAAACCAAAATAGAAATAGTTAAATCTCGACTATCATGTTCCAGCCTTTTGCGTCATTATCTGTAGGGCAGGAAACATTATGAATACACCAAAATTTTAGTGCTGTGGCAAATATTTAAAGATTCAAAGATATTTAATAATTGCGTACTTTTGTTATCTCTTGCAAATGTATCTGTTGAATTTAGGAGTACTGTAAACATTTTGTCTACATGTATGGCCATTCAGAGTATCAAATTGCATCACATGAAGTGCAGTCTCAATTTACTGCGTGACCCTGCACCAGTCAGAGGAGATGGTTTGTCTGTATCTGGTCACCTCTAGGAATAGATGCTGGCCTTTACTTAGGAAGGCCATATCGAGTAACTTGGCAAGTAAATTTCCCTGTACGAGTATATAACTTAAGGGTCACTTTCATTACAGTAAATTACATTTCTTATACAGAGTTTGTATGGGTTTTTTAGCGGTGAGTATTTTGAAGTCACACAGAAATATTTTTGCTTGTGTGAATGGTTTCTAATGTCAAATTCTTACATATAGACAGGGATTAGGTGTACTCCATCAGAAAGGTTTCTAATGCTAATTAAGGGCCTAATTAGATGACTGATATGAGTGTGATTAAAAGCAGCGCACTTTATAAACAGCCTAGCAGAACACATGACAGGTGCGTTCCCCCCCCCCACCCACCCTCAATCATTGATTTCTTTTATATGTGCAAAATGCTTGATCTGTTTATTTTTATTTTCATGTGAAAATACAGAGAGAAAATGACAAGGACCATAAAGTAAGACTGGCCATTGGTAATGGTGTCAGAGCAGACGTATGGAGAGAGTTTCTCAGTCGCTTTGGGAACATTCAGGTCCGAGAGTTTTACGCCTCCACTGAGGGAAATGTGGGATTTATCAACTATGCGGGGAAAATTGGAGCCATTGGACGTGTCCACTTCTTGCATCGGGTAAGGATGAGATCATCCAAAAACAAAAAAACATTCGTATTTCTGTTAACTTAGTTGAAATTTCATAGATTTAATACCTATGTATCAGGCTGTGTGATCCCACCTCAACCTCTGAGCTTTCATCAGCCTCTCATGGCGGAGCTCGGAACAGCTGTTTGAGTCTTCATCCATTCGCTGAGTCTAGTAGAGGACCATGAATGTGATGGAAAGCTCTGAAAAAGCTTGTAAGATGACCTTGAGTTTACCAAACGTACTGATCCCAGGTTGAAGAATGAGTTTCCATATAGTATTTATTTAGCGGTTCAAAAGAAATGATTATTTTTTTTATGCATCATTGGAGCTCATTCCAAAACATTCTGCATTGTGTTTGTATGTATCAACAATAGGATGACATGTACACAGTGGTTTATTCTGTTGGTATGAAGATTAACTGGGCACATATTTTACATATTACTGATGTCGTAACCTCCTCCTGTAGAAGCTGTTTCCCTACACTCTTGTCAAGTATGACACAGAGCGAGATGAACCAATCCGAGACGCTAACGGCCTCTGTGTGGAGTCACCCAAAGGTGAAGAAACAACTGTCAATATAAACTACTGAATCACACATTTCTCTATGCACTTTATAGAGATTTTTCTATACTCATTTTATGCATTATGACACTTAATATAATATCTAGATCAAGTAGTCTGTTTACAAACCAAATCATAACCCTGGTGATGGAGCAAGTAGTGCGTTAATAATGTCAGTAACGTCAGTGGCTTTCTCTTTAAGGTGAGACAGGACTGCTGGTGTCCAAGATCACAGACATCGCTCCTTTTGTCGGCTACGCCCAGAGTGAGGAACAAACGGAGAGGAAAAGACTTCGTGACGTTCTCAAGAAAGGAGATCTTTACTTCAACAGTGGAGACCTAATGAGGATTGATAAAGACAACTTCATTTACTTTCAGGATCGTGTAGGTGACACATTCAGGTACAGAGCTCTTGTGCACTATGATTTTTATTTTGACACTTGTTTATTTCTTTACAGAATAACTTGATAATTTTTACACCTTAGTATCAGCCATATTACACAACGACAAAATTAAAGACCCGAACAAACAGGATGAAACATCATAAGGTCGCTGACTTTTTACTGTAAAAGGTGAAAAGCACAAAACAGTCAGTGAAAAGATAGATGCCATTTGTGTTTCAGTTTCTGTAGTGTCACATCTTGTAGCTTTTTAGGAACACGATAAAAGTTCTCTACTCTGATAAAAGAAAACATCAAACAAAGTGGTTATGATGTTTCTTTTTCTTTCAAATGTGCTTTTGTCTTACCCTTATATTTTCATGGATAACCTCTTGCTTTAATCTTTCAGCAGTAAACAGTAAACCTTCCTGCATGTCATGCACCAGGCTCCTTTAGAAAAGCTTTGAAATTGTGGGTAAACTTGTATTTGCTGTGTCACTTTTAGCGTGCAAAGAGAGGACATGTTTTTGTTCCCCCACATGCACACACCTGTAAACTATACTTTTGCCTCATGTGTTAAAACACAAACAAACAAACTTATAGGCCTATAAAGCCGTAACCTCTTTGATCCCACAGGTGGAAAGGTGAGAATGTGGCCACGACCGAGGTGTCTGACATCCTGACCATCAGTGATTGTCTCAAAGAGGCCAACGTTTATGGAGTCCAAGTGCCAGGTGATGGTCATTTCCTCCTCCTGAACATTCTCCCAGTGTCTTTAATGAGAATATCTTGACTTCCAAAAGGCAGATCATTGAAAAGAGATATTGATTTTGGTAATGAATCAGTTTTTTTTGTTTGTTTTTTTTGTCAATGCAGGACACGAGGGCCGGATAGGAATGGCGGCTGTCACTGTGGAGGAAGGCGCCCAATTTGATGGAAGTAAAATGTATAGCCATGTGGTCAGCTACCTGCCCTCATATGCCCGACCTCGCTTTATAAGGATACAGGTAATTTCATTTCACACACACACACTTTACTGCATTTCACCAGGTACATTAAATTAAAAAAAAAAAAACTATTAATATTTGAAAAACAAACAAAAAAATGTAAATAAGACTGGGATCAATGTTTATGCCACATTGTCAGAGTTGCAGCTGCATTTTCAATGATATTTTGACACACCTGAGTATCTGAGAGAGTATCCTGTACTTTTCGTCCATGTAGAACGCTGTGGAGGTGACTGGGACTTTCAAGCAGATGAAGGTGAAGTTGGTGGAGGAGAGTTTTGATCCAGGACGTATCCAGGACCCTCTTTATGTCCTTGTCGATAATGAGAAGGCCTACATACCGCTGACGTCTCCGGTCTACTCCTCCATCATATCAGGAAACATCAAACTATGAGCAGGTTCTTAGTGTTCACTAACTGCATGCTTTTCTGACTGGCTGCATTGATACTTTTAATAGTGAACTTCCAGCTCAGGGACAGAACAAATCTCAAAGTATAACTTATACAGTATGTAGTAAACCAACATGGAGACATAAACATCTTTGTCAATAGCAGTTCATGGGAGTCAAACGTTTAAAACGTAATCGTAAGGATTAATCTCAGGGGCCAGAGTCAGCCTGCGAGGAGTGGAGGGAGTTTGATATACATAAATGATATACATATACTTACTGACAAGTGGTAATATAAATAGTGTATTTACTAGCATGATGAGGACCGCTGTTTCTAAAGTAATCTGTCTAATAATGGTGTGGAGAAGTGTTGCTGTTGGGGTGATCGCATCAAAGACACAACATGGATAAACAGATAGTGTACAGTCTAACAGTCTTCATGGAGAGCAAACTATAATGCAGTGACTTTCTCTCACAGGTACTATCTGATGTACTCAACAGATTACTTTGTTTTTAGGAAAGATGTAAGTAGCGTGTAGTGGTTTTAGAATTACTTATTATAAATGACTTTCCTAAACATTAAAGTAATTCCTGTTGTAAAACCAGAACTAGTTTTCATGTTTATGTCTGCTCTCATTTCACTCATCATACTCACAACAACAACACAAATTTTCCAAGTGTGACGTATGTGGAAAAACCACATGGTGGAGACAAATGCACACGCTGTCAGAGTCTCTGTCTCCAGGGATAAACAGTGCAGTACTAGAAACATGACAGCGACAAAAATGTTGAGCAGGACACCTGAAAATTACACCTATGTGTGATTTTTTTTTTTAACATCCTGTTTCAAAACCATGTGCATTAAAATTCTATACTGACTAACGCACTAACATTCCTCGGGGCCAAAACTATGAAAACCTTCTTCTTCGGTCCTTTAATTAACTTTAAACTTTAATTACTTTAATTAATCAACTTTGACAATTAAAACTGTACTTTACTGTCAAGCACGGTCTGTTTTAATCAGTTACAAGGCTGCTCGGATGTCACTTTTTCACTCGGTAAACAATGACTGTGTCATGTTTTTCAATGGCAGACACCTTTTGTTAGTTTTGTTTTGGACTTTTGGCACTTCCTGTTTTATTTTGTAATTTGGTTCCTTGTGTGTCTCAGTGTTTTGGCTTCCTGTCTTGGTCTTGTTTCTGTGTAGTGATTGTCTGCCCCGCCCTAATGTGTTTCACCTGTGTGCAATCACCTTGCCTCCTGTGTCTATACAGTCTTTGTGCTCCCCCTTTGTCTGTGTTGGTTCGTCTGTTTAGTTCAGCGTTTGTTCACGTCGTCTGTTCATGTCTGTTATTGTGGTTAACAAACCTGTCTGCACCGTTCCCCAAGTTTTGGCTGCATTTGGGTCCTACTTACCCCTCCAAACCTTGACAGACTGAATCATCTATGTACAGGAAAAAATATACGATATATTCATATACAGCAAGACAAAACATAACAGACTTAGCGGTATTAACACAGTGAGTAATTCCCCTCTGCTACCTGTCATTTGAAACCTCAGAAAAGTGCACTGTTGTTGTGTGATTATAGTGTAATACACACTGAACCATCCTGGTGGAGGAAAGAGTGGTTTTATTCTTTTATGATCAGTTTGCTGCTTCAGATGAAAAAGATGGAGAGATTCACAGAAAGTTAATCGTTGATTTGATAACTATAAAGGTCAATAGGCTTGTTTTCCTTGTTCCTGCTGTCGGCTGAACTGTGCCACAAAGCAATGATTTTAGGCAGTAAGTATAGTTTTCTCAGTGTTCACACTAATTTGAGTTCAAAGTATACGTGTCAATGATGACGAATGATATTTTGGAACCCTTGCTGAGGGTCACAATAGGGTCATTAAAAGGCCGAAGACAAATGTGTTGCAATGATTGTACAATAGCCCTATGCTTTGTAAGGTCATTATCCTTTGTAAGATCATTTTAATTTATTGTGCAAGAGCAGTTGTTCCCGGCCTTGGTATATATGAGTTTTGTGAGTTTTAGAAATATTCTTAACATTTAGTTTCCAAGGTCGAAGAGAGGATGAGCAGTAAGAGCATAAAAATAGCTGATACTTTTCACTGTTGGCAGCAGTTCATAATTTGAAACACAGCCCATGAGTTACAGTGTAATTGGTTAGTATGAATGGTTCCAACTGGTTAGGGAACAAGGGAGTAATAATTTAGAAGAAAGGTGAAATAAATACCATAAGTGTTTTTGTAAATGCTGGGTATTAACGGGATACAATACAAAACTGAGGTTTTGGGGAAATGGTGTTAACTGTGTAATAAAAGAGTTAAAAAGTATAGACTAAGGGGGGAACAGCCACACATTATATTAAAGCCTGCGTGGTTCTTACAGTGTAATTCAAAGAATTAAAATAATTACACGGTTTATGCCATGTTTGATGCATCTACATCATCTACATAATAAATATAAAAGAAGCGACTAATAACAACGGTGTTGAATTTGAGTGAAATAAAGGTCGGCCCGATAGCCTCAGAAAACTGTTTATTTTCCATACATTAATCATATTCATTCAACTTAGTTTAAAAGCACCGCTTTAAACAATTGTAACTGCAACTGACCAGATAATGTTGGTGATGTAGTTAACAAATGTTCAATAACCGGTGTGATTATGATTTAATAAAATCTCGCGCAGCGTGACGTGTAATTATTAGGGCGGTGCACGTCAGACACTCCTTTTTAAACACGGAGATCATATTTCCCCAGACTTAAATTTTGTCGCCAGTTTTGTACCCTCCGTGAAAGTAAAATTTAAAAGTAAAACAGTTGTTTCTTCTTTCATTCTCTCAGTCTTCTTCTACAGTCTTTTGTTGGTACCATGGTTCATACAACGTATACACTTAGATTTAATACTGTTTTACCATAACACCATGAACATCTTGTCTCCACACAGGAGCAAGACAATGACTCTTCTGAAACACCCCAAGAGGTTGGCTCAAAGTTCAAGAGGCGTAAACTGTAGGTATCAGTGCAGATATAATTTGCTGTTTTGAGGTGAATTTTTCTGTACTCTTGCAGCAGTAGGACTGGTACTTTCCTCCTCATAATGTTTACCTATATTCTATATACCGTTGTTACGGGTTTGGCAATTTTGCCATTGTTGCTTTACGCGAGAAACCCTTATTTTTTAAGAGATTTAAATTACGCAATCACTGCTATTCAAATCGCCACACGCGTTGGCAAGTTCAAGAGGCAGAAACCTTTTTACAGTGTTTTGGACAGTTTTCTCGACAAAGTGGCGAAGCAGCCGCACAAGAGGTTCATACTGTTTGAGGAAAGCTCCTACACTTACAGCCAAGCCGACAAAGAGAGCAACAAGGTGGCCAGAGCTCTGTCGACGCATGCCCAACTGAAGGAGGGCGACACGGTGGCCCTGTTCTTGGGTAACGAACCGCAGTTTGTGTGGCTGTGGCTCGCACTGGCCAAGCTGGGATGCATAGCTTCTCTACTGAACAACAACATCCGATCCAAGTCTTTGCTGCATTGCTTCTCCTGCTGTGAAGCCAAGGTCCTGGTCACTGGTGCTGGTAAGCTGAAATCCTCCGTGTGATCATAAAATAAATGTCAGGTTTTCTGCATTATTTACTTGCTGCACAACGAATACAAGGTGGCAGTGGTGTGTCACATAAACCTGCGTTTATGTTTCAAGTACCAGTTCATGATCAGTACAGTCTTGTGCAGGAATTGAATTGTTCTCTTCTTTAATAGATTATCAACAATGTTATTTTTGTATCCTCCTGTGAACTTGTTCTCGGCTGATATGATGCTGATATCAATATTTGGGAGTTAAGCTATAACTATATGTTTCACGTAAACACATATCATGAACACACAGCCTTGATCCTGACTCTTGTGTTATATGTCAGTTCTCTCTGGTGGACAAACTATAGAATGGATACACTATTATTAATTTACCTCAAAACCAGTGTGTCTTTCCTGTGCTGCAATTTCTTGTTACTTATTGGCCAACATATAAACCGATACCCGTCTACACTAAGCTGACATCAGCCGACGTATTAGGGCAGACATCAGTCTAGTTCTAGTTTGAAGAATATTGAGAGCTACTGAGAACCAGAGTTGAATTCCTTGTTTTGCTGTTTTATTGTTACTGCATGGAAGCCTTCACTAGCTCTCTTCTGCCTGTGTGCGTCAGAATTACGAGGGGCCGTGGAGGAAGTGTTGCCCACCTTGAAGCAGCAGGGCGTCCGTGTGTTTATCCTCAGTGATGACTGTGATGTGGAAGGCATTGAAAACCTCTCTGATAAAATCCAGCAGGCCTCAGACCAGCCTCTGTCTCCTCAGCTAAGGGCCAACATCAACATTAAGAGTCCCGCGCTGTACATCTATACCTCAGGAACCACAGGTGATCTGATGTGATGGTTTATTTCACCTTCCCTTCTAATCTGCTTTGGCATTTTTAGTGTGCAGGCCCCCGAGCTACAGAAATATCACTATGCTACACCTGCTTCTAATGGCAATGTTGTCTGTTAGGGCTTCCCAAGGCAGCTGTAATCAACCACGAGAGGCTATGGATGGCATCTTTTCTTCAGTGGGTTGCTGGTGTACGCTCAGACGATATCATCTACATATACCTGCCTCTCTACCACAGTGCAGGCTTTCTGATGGGACTTTGTGGAGCCATAGACAAAGGTAACGCACGCACAGTAAATTGTACTAAACCATCAAAGAACTACAAAACATGATTTCCAGGCTGCATCCTGAGGTTCAGTTTATTAAAGGTTAAACTAACAGGTATATGACCTCAAATAACAGTCAGGTTGGCTCTTATTTTCACTGTTTGTATTTCAAAGTCCTAAAGGTCATGAGTTGAGTTATAACTTGTTGCTGAAACCTGTGCCTCTTGATTTCTAGGCATCACTGTTGTTTTAAGGCGTAAATTCTCTGCCACTCACTTCTGGAATGACTGTAGAAAGTACAATGTGACAGTCATTCAGTACATAGGAGAAATTATGCGCTACCTCTGCAACACCCCAAAGGTAAACCTCAGTATAATATCACATATGGTGATAATTAGTATCGTGCAAGTATTGTGAAATACGTAAATGAAATTTGCATGGGCAGCTATAATGCCTGCAGTCTGCTGTTTGTAATCTGAACAGATGGTGGACATTATGTGATCTTTATAATCTAAGTCTCACCTCTGCCGCACTCTCCTCCAGAGAGACAATGACAGAGATCACAAAGTCCGATTGGCCGTGGGGAACGGGATAAGGGCCGACACCTGGGCTGAATTCCTGCAGCGTTTTGGGGACATTCGTATCTGTGAGTGCTACGGAGCGACAGAAGGAAATGTTGGCTTCGTCAACTACATTGGGAAAATTGGAGCAATTGGCAAAGAGCATTTTCTACACAAGGTCTGTTCTGTGCAAGAATTTAGATGATACAGGGTTTCATTTCATCATTACAGTGTGAAGAGCATGTTTACCGAATTATGAGATACAATATTCAAAACAAGTTCAGACAGTATGTTTCATTGCTTTGAACTGTTTTTCAGATGGGATATTCATATGCACTCATAAGGTACGACACAGAGAAAGAGGAGCCAGTCAAAGACTCCAGAGGCTTTTGTATTGAAGTACCTAGAGGTGAGCCAATCTCCTCCAGCGAATATGCCTCTCCCTTGATCTTCCGGCTCCCACTAATGCATACCCTGTGCTCGATGATTTTACCCGCAGGAGAGACCGGTTTGTTGGTGGCAAAGATCGGAGAAAGAACACCTTTCAGCGGTTACGCCAAGAACAGGCAGCAGACCGAGAAGAAGAAGCTGAGGGATGTGTTTGTGAAGGGAGACCTCTACTTTAACAGTGGTGACCTCCTAAAGATAGACAATGAAGGCTTTATCTTCTTTCAAGACCGCATTGGAGACACTTTCAGGTGTGTGGATGAATTACACTGATCAACTTTGACAAGCTGAGCAAATAATGAAAACACTGGGCCCACATCTGGAAACAGTGCTAGTGGATAGATAACAGTCTCAAAAGCAGAAAACAATCTGAACTTGCAGTTCAGGTTATCTTGTTTTTTTTTTTAAGTAAATAAGTTGGAAAATAAGACCAAATTTATGACTGGAAACTGAATTGAAGATATAGGAAACCATTAAATTTGGCTTTATTCAAGATGAATTTAGGTAACATAATTTCAAATTTGAGCAGCTGCACGCACCCTGGTTATATGCTTGCTTTTTAGATATTTGATTCCCTGTAGCTGTTAATATTAAATATTAATAATCTTCATTCAATTATAATTTTGTATTGTCATCTCTTGCAGGTGGAAAGGGGAAAATGTGGCAACCACAGAGGTAGCTGATCTTTTGCTCATGGTGGACTGCATTGAGGAGGCTAATGTCTATGGTGTGAAGGTGCCAGGTAATAATTACATTACTAGCAATAATTTAAGATGTGTAAAGGATGCACTCATGAGATGATGGTTATAGTGAGAGATACGTTTTAGTAAAAGCCTTTGGTCTGACCACTATGTCTGTTTGAGTTTGTGATTTTTAAAGATTCTGTAAAGTTTCACGTGCCTATTAATCATTAACCACTGTAATCATGAACCACATAAGATGAATTTGAAACAGGAAAGCATGTATTTGAAATACTTGGGCATTTACTTTGCCAGAGTACAAAAGACAGGAAGAGCTGTTTATGCGCTTGTTGTGAAATACTCTTTTTGCCTTGACCTTGACTGATTAGGACACGAGGGAAGAATTGGAATGGCAGCACTAAAGCTAAAGAAAAGCATGGACTTTGACAGCAAAGCTACATATCGGCACGTCAAAAACCACCTCCCCAGCTATGCAAGGCCACGCTTCGTTCGTATACAGGTAAACACAGTCCTGCTGGATTGATATATACGAGATTAGAGCATATGAAAAATCAGGACTTTGTCTAAAAATGTCTTGCAAGCGTTATATAACTATTGATTTCTGCTCTGGCAGGATGCGCTGGCAGTGACCGGGACGTTTAAGCAAACGAAGGTGAAGCTGGCAGAGGAAGGCTTCAACCCTGCTGTCGTCCCAGATCCTCTGTTCTACCTGGAGGACAACAAAGGCTACGTACCCATGACCCAGGAGATATTCAGCTCCATCGAAGAGGGAAGAATCAGGCTCTGAATGAGTTCAGTGTTTATTATTAGATCGTCAACCTCAAATATTACATTTGATTGTTAGCCTTTAGCTGATACAGGATGCCTAATAATGCTGGAATAACCTGCACATTGAGCGTGTCTGTGCAGCACATTTCATCAGCTACTTTACCTTCTGTGAGGATATTGTGCAGTGAAATATTTCAAGTGATTTAATGTTGTTTGAAATACTTTTTAATAAAAAGATTTTAAAAACTTGATTGTAAATGAGCAAAGTAATCCCAAATCAATGATATAATTAGATAGTGATCTTCAATTTGAAGCTCAGCGCCAACACAGCAGTAAATTGTTTAATTATTAAATAGCTGAATTACTGTGTGTGTATGTACCTACTGTACACTGCTTTCAGGATCATTAGAGGAGCTTAGGTGCAGTGGCAGTTTCCAGCGGAGTGGGAGAGGGAGCTGTGTTGGCGATAGGAGAAGAAGACATACAGTTCATTCTCCTGCAGGTGGAGGACAAGTGTTTTTGAGCCGCCTGTGAAACCTTCAGGGGGCAGCACAGCGGGTGCCGACCACACTGCACCCACTGGTTGCAGAAACTGGGCACACTGTAGAACTTGGTGAGCTTTTTCAGGACCTGCTTACCCAGCAGATTTGAAGGCATTTCTGTAACCTTAGTCAAAGGACTGGATGCTGGAGTTGATGGCGTGGGGAGAGCACCTGCCCCATCTTTAAGAGCAGGCCTTGTGTCAAAGTCGTAGCCGGACAGCGGCCCGACGTAAGTGTAAGGCAGAGGCTCGCTGTTGCAGCTAAGAGAGCGCATTGGTCTCCTAGAGCGGTTCCAAGCCTTGTCAATCCACAGCTCCACTTGAGCTTTGTCCAGCATGGATGCGGCATCCTCTTTTTCATCAGACCTGGTGTCTGAGTTGGGGTCTTGGTTTTCTTCTGCTTCCATCACGTCGTCTTCCCCTGCCTTTGATTGGTCTGAGTTATTGGGACCCTGCGTCTCAGCCAGAAGAGTGGAAGCCGTTTTGGAGATGATGCCCCAGTCCTTAAGGATGTCATCTGCAGTAGTGAACTGTGAGGTCACCGTGAATCGGATGATGCGTGTGGTGTGAATGTCGGCAGGGATGAGGTACATGGTACCTGACCGGGTCAGTCTCCTCAGCAGCTCCTGGGTCAAAGCATTTCCTCCCTGCAATAAGAAAATAATATATTCATGAACATCGCAGGGCCAAACAAGCTCAAAGCTTCCAAACAAAACGAAAGCATTTTCAGCAACATCAGTTTTAAGGTTTCCACTCTTTTTAATGATCGCTGATATTGCTCTCACCTTCACCTGTGCTTGATAAGAACTAGTCAAGTAACTCACCTTTGAACAAGGTATGACTAGGTGACTGAAGTTTATATGTCTCGGTAATGATTAGCCAGTGAAAGATACGATGCCAAACAAAGAACTAACTTTAACACAAACATTTTTATAGTGTACTGATTAGATAGTTCAAAGTTGCGCTACATACTTTCAGGCAGAAGACCACCAGGCCAAGGTGCCTCGCGGCAGGAACCTCAAAATTTGGGTCTCTCCTTATGTGAGACTCTAAGAGTTTGGCCATCTCGATCCCCTGAAAACAACAGAAAAAAAAATACACATTTAAATTCTGAAACTTTAAAATAATTATGGTGTTTGCCACATCATAATTCTCTACAGTAAATAAACTTGCTAATTTGATCCTTATTTGATGATCCTGGATTTAATTTATCTCTAAAATTATTTGCAGGAAGAGAACTGAATGCCTCTTACATGTCTGATATGAGCCTGGAGGTTTTTCAGTCCAAAGGAGCGCATCACAAACCAGAGTTTGAGAGAGCGGAAACGTCGGCTGAGGGGAATTTGCCAGTGCTGAACAACAGAGAGAAGCGCTGTTATCACTGTTATTGGATTAAATTATTCACTATAATGGTTGAATATTTTATTTAGTGAAGGTGTGACATTATCATACCATAAAGTCAGTGGCTGCCTGTGAGTTTTCATGTCTGAGATAAACAGGGTCAACACTGAAGGTCTGTTGGAGCTTATACTTATCCTTTACCCTGAGAAAACAAAGTTCAACCATTTTACCAGCCAACAAGCATCCTTCATATTCACCTTTGATTTATTAGTTATTAATTCCAGATAGATAATGTTTATTTCTGAAGAAGGGCAATAAGGCTTCAGCGTTCTTAATCACCAGAAAGCTGTGCAGTCAAAATGCACCATCATCCACTTGGAAGGGTTAAAGACAAAAGAGTGGGCAAAGTCGATGCCCTCCAGTGACCAGCGGAGCTCAGGACAGAAGTAGGCCGAGCCAGCATACGCAGCATCGACGTGAAGCCACAGGCCCTCTTCCGCACCTGTAAGAACAACAGTTTCTATACAAGTATACTGTACTATAATAATACATGTCAGTGTTTGACTTTGCAAACAGTGTTAAAGTAGACGTCACTGAAAGTGAATTTGAAGACATACACACTGGTCCCAGTTCAGATAGCTTGTCGAAGGCACACACTCCTGTAGTTCCCAAAGTCGCACACAGCTGAACAGGAGAGAAACAAAATCACATGGTTTTAATTATGTTTAAAAACACGAACCGGTTTCTTGTTGTGTACATAATTCAGTTCAAATCCTACCACTTACCAATTTCCATACTTTACTTTTTTAGTTGTTTGAGTGTTTTTTTTTTTTTTTTTTTTACCCTCTAGGCATCATCATATCTGTTTCATTTCAATACACTGTCAAAGTGAACCAGCTCTTTGCAGAGGTGAAAGAAGTGTATTAATCAGTATTATCAGCAAAAAGTACTTAAGTATCAAAAATAATAGTAGTAGTTTTGTGTTATTATGTCCTCTGTGACTGATATATTGTCATACATGCCATTAGTAAACAGTGTTAAGTCAAGTTTCTGTAAGCTTCATGACTCTATTACGCTTTCAAAGTTAGTTGGCAGTATTGCGAAACATGTGATGTCAAAAATAATAGTATGATTCTTAAACTCCCCGCAGAGGCACCCCCAACACCCTCATTATACCCACCCGTCCTTCAGTTTTGTATACGTACCATGAAAGGGACCAGTCCCATCCTCCTGTCTTCTTGTATGGCCTGTTTTAAAGTGTCTCCCCTCAGAGACAACTGCTCATCAGTGGGCAGAAACCTGATCTTCACCAGAGAAATCAGACCTGCCTTTTCCACTGATGAATGAGCCTATAAAAGCAGTCATTACATCAAATCAGTTCATCAGCTTATTTCATCACATTGATGGGGAACTACTGTAGAAGAAGCGGTTACACGGACCTGATCTGAAGCGTAGGCCACCAGCCTTGAATTTAGGACTGAGTCGTCCACTTCCTGGTCGAGCTCGGCCCGCAGCTGCAAGATTTTGTCTTTCCTGGCTGCCAGCAGAGCAACCAGTGTACTCTCACTGACTGTGCTCTAAGGAGAGTCGAGGAGAAGAGGAAACTAATCAGCTCTCAGTTACCACAGAGACTGTTGTATAAAGTTTTTGGGTTTAAAATAAACAGATCAAGGTGTCATGAACCTGCAGTATGCCTCCACCTCTGCTGTCAGGATGCTGATGCAGGAAAAAGGAGGGGAGCCCCAGAGCTTTACACAACCAGTCCATCACATTCATTTCCAACTCTGTACACGCTGGGCTAGAGGCCTGTGCGAAACCAGTATCAATATCATTCATCACTGTTGTGACATTTTTTAAAATGGAGGGAAAAAAAAAAAAAGTGGGTTGTCCCCTTACCCAGGTGAATCCAACACAGTTGATGGCATCGGCCAGCATGTCCCCGAGCATAGAGGGCCATGAAGTCAGACTGGGGTAGTAGGCATGCATGTGAGGGCTCTGCCAGTGAACCACCTTCGGGGGGAAAAAGATGACAAAATACTTACTTCCTTGCTGTAGTTTCAAATGGCTGATATGATGATAGGTGACAATAGGAACTTACTCCTGGCATGACCACCTTCTCAATGTCGTTGAAGATAGTCTCCCAGTCCTCCGGCTCTGTAGGCGCAGTATCGGGGAGAAGCTCCTTCATGTAGCCGGGTTTCACATCTGGAATCACCCTCCTCTCCCTGATGGAGCCCAAGTACTGTGTGATGTAGTCCACCAGCTCCTTGCCTGATCAGGAATAGGTATTATTTGCAGTGAAATACAACATTAACACAGACAAAAAGAGTAAATATAGTGAAATGGACTCATGATTACCCCTGCGATTGTATTCCTCAGCCTGCATTTTTTTTTTCTTTCTTTTTTTTAAGATGAGAGCTCTTTGAGTTACTTCGTTGTGTGTAACTTGTGGCTAGAATGATGCTTTGTGTATTCAGTAGCAGAGATCACAGTCCTATATAGACCCTGTTGTGAAGAACACGCCCTAAATTGGTGACGCATTTGAACCACCAAAGAAATGCCCTCCACGTGTTCTTTCCATCATTGGGATTGTTGGTCACATTACCCGTTGACTCCACACTTGCACCAAATATTTACCCTCATTTGGTGGTGATGGTTTACTAATTCATATTTCCATTAAATTATACTGTATTAACCATAACGGGGCACTTCTGTATATCAAGAGTGTAATTGATTGCATGTCATTATAACTTCAATATACATCAGTCGCCCTGCACCTGAAATAAATTCTTTTGATGCGTAAAAAATGAGCTGAAAATGTCCCTGTGTAATTATTTCATGTCATATATCAGATTATAAACTTTATGTATCTGAAATGTATTTTCCATATGATATGTAACCATACATTTAAAATGTATCAAACACATCTACAACATATTGCAGCAGTTCATTTAAATACATTACATATTTTTACTATATAAACTTGACAATAAGATAAATAGCTAATGTACAGTCGTATTTTGTAATATATTAAACAATGATCAAAATCTTCTACTATGTTTCGTAAAGTATATTTTGATTCCTTACGTTATTAGATTGCTAAAAGTCCGACTGATGCACTGGTACATATGTAGCATTTTACTGTTGTAACTGACTGAGGTGAAGCTAGTTTAATTACTTTACAATTTAGTCCAGAATCAGAATCAGAATCAGAATCTGGTTTATTGCCAAGTAGATTTTCAACATACAAGGACTTCAGTCCAGGAATCCAGTATAGGGTTTCAACCTAGGTTTAGGGTTGGTGTTCAGG